GCCTTAGAGGAAACCGGTAGTGTAAAGCCACAGTACTCCTTTTCTCAATTCGTTGCATCGTTCCCCCAAATGTTTACATCCGTCACGCTTGAAGCTGCATCGCATGCGTCATGTGACACGTTGCACGTGTGCACTCGTATGAGCCATACTCATGGACTGCGTTCGCGACGTGAGATCACGTGATCGCCTTGCCACCGACTGCACTGGTACGGTGACTAACGTAGCGGTGAGGTTAACTCCATAGGCACGCCAAGTTGAGTGGAACCGTGCAGTTAGTGCAACAGCTTACAGGCCTCCGAATATCACAAAATGTCGCTGGGCGCGGGTGAAGACTATACTAAAGAGTTCTGAATAGGGACGCGACTTGAAGCATGTTGCATACGCAATGAACGTAAACCTGTTTAGCTGCCGCACGAACCTTAGACGTAAAGTTCCGCAGGCGCGTGGTCAGCCTTGACGATAATGCGTTTACCTGCCGCATTAGGTAATGACATACCACGTATTGACAGACATTCAGATTTCTCACCACTAGCACTACCGCAGTTGTCGTCCCGACTCTTTCGAACTATTAGTATACCCTATGGTTGTCTCGCAACGCCACACCGGAAGCGTGCACAAACTGCGTGCCCCAACATTTAGTCTGAATGTCGAACCTATGAACTAGCGATACGTAAAAATCATGGAACCTCTTCAAATGGTATACATTATTTTAGCAAAATAAAAGATTTACAAATCTATGCAATGCATAGCACGATCGTAATTCCTTCTTACATTCTCAATAATTTGTTGGCAGTGCTGGAACTTAACGGTTTGTGCCTCGGACACAATTCGCTCCGAGAAGCGCCTTCTCCACTCGCACTAGCATAGTACATCCTTAGGATCTCCCTGAAGCATCTCGGAATATTGCCTTCCCATGGCTTGCTTCACAAACACTTTTATTATGCTCCAGGTTCCCTCAAATGGCTGCAGTGATGGAGAATATGGCCCCAAACGCAGGAGGCTGCCCGTATGGTATGGTTCCTCCTGGAATACGCGTTCTAACTTCGTGTGGCATTGCATTTTATCAAAGATCAGGAGGCAGTTTTCGATAAAAGTCGAAACTCTGGTATCCAGCAGTCGACGCAACCACGTCGCCCAATTTTCCTTATTGAAGTTTCCTCTCATGATGGTATAGTCTATTGATCCATCGCTTGTTAACGCTCCAATCAGATGCAGGTTTCGGCCTAGACTGTTGGGCACTGTACATTGCGCAGGAGTTCCAGGCGGCGAACGCCCCATGGTGCGAGAACAAATGAGATTGAAATTGGTTTTTTCTATGCACACAGCTTGTCTCCCTTCGGCCTCAGATTGTAGCAGTGGCAAAACTTAAGCTTTTCTCAGCATTTTGTTTTCATGTGTGTTGGCTGATTCCGAAACTGCTCGAAGCTCCTTCCTGGTAATTAGCCGTCCATCCAAGTATCCTGCAATTGTGCTCACTCTTACCTCGATGTTTAACTCCCCCTTCAACCACAAACGTAGTGTTTGTAGTGACCGTAGGTTCTTTCGACGCCCCTTCTACCAGGCTATCAATCTGGTCTGTCAAGGACCTTCGGCGTCCCCAAAATGATGTTCTGTTTGTCCGGCTGATTCCAACCCTTTTATCCAACTGCGACAGGTAGTCAGGTTTACGTTCATTGCGTATGCAACATGCTTCAAGTCGCGTCCCTATTCAGAACTCTTTACTATAGTCTTCACCCGCGCCCAGCGACATTTTGTGATATTCGGAGGCCTGTAAGCTGTTGCACTAACTGCACGGTTCCACTCAACTTGGCGTGCCTATGGAGTTTACCTCCCCGCTGCATTACTCACCGTACCAGTGCAGTCGGTGACAAGGCGATCAGGTGATCTCACGTCACGAACGCAGTCCATGAGTATGGCTCATACGAGTGCACACGTGCAACGTGTCACATGACGCATGCGATGCAGCTTCAAGCGTGACGGATGTAAACATTTGGGGGAATGGTGCAACAAATTGAGAAAAGGTGTAGACGGTGTCGGTGACGAACACAGTTCTTATATGGGTTGGGCATGCGTAAGTGTTTGGGTAGACAGGAAACACCGATTACAGTTGGGAGGCAGATTTCATCAACGGAGCTGGCCCACACTCCTTCGCAGGCAAACACAAGCACACTGTAATTGGGGAATCAAGCGCACACAAGGCGGTGGATGGACCGTAGTGCGCTCCACACTGAGTGCATGGAACCACTCTTCGAGCTTAGCACGGCCACAAAAACCGTTCACCACCTCCCCTCCAGCAACGTCCAACTTTCTCCTAAAGCCAGTATAAACGAGGTAGTGGTTTGTAGACAGGTAGACACCTGGTCAACATGCACATCAAGCGCAGCCACCCCGGGGATGTCAAACAACAGCCAATAACTTGAAAGTATCAAATAAACGATATCTGTTAATGAATACGGCTATGCAGAGATAACTCTTCGTCAAATTGGCATATAAAGTAAGTTGGTTAGCAACGAATCCGGGATAAATATATAATGTCCAGAACTTACTGAAAATATGCCACAAATGCATTAAAATTAACGAAAATAACCACAATTAACCTAAACAACGTGGCCAGTTAATAGAGCATTAGTCAGGTAGGCAGAACAAACCAAATATATTGGGATGAATTTTATCCTCATTAAAAAGACCTAGTTTAAGTGTAAGTCGGTTTAGCCCAACTGCTGTGATATATATATATATATATATATATATATATATTCGGTCGTTGGCCAAAAGATTCCTGCATCCGTCTCGTTATCTATTTGTCAATGGTTCAAATTTGCGTAGGTAGCGGCGACTTCACTACATACGTAGCGCACGCGCAACTGGTGGTGGTCGCGTAGCATCGAAACGTCAATATGTTATCCATAGCTGCGGCTGATGCCTTTTCACTTTCTCACCTTCTGTAGTGCAATAGAACATTGATTAATGAAGAATAGCAAGGTATTGGCTTAACATTTTCCATTGGTTGGTAATAGAAGAAATTGCAAATTCGAATACTACAGAAGTGGACCAAATGGGATGCGCCCCGGTGGAGCCATTGATTAATGACTTTTGAACTGGGATTTCGGTATTGTAACGGTAACATGCAAAAGCAAAACGAAGTTGTTATGGCTGATGCCAATGTAATGGGATTAATCACTCCCCTGCGAGACTTACGTGACTAAGTGTAGGGAATTGTGCATACTCGGTCGTTTTTGAAAATGGCTTGGGTAGGGGCACAGACAACTGAGTTGCGAAGGGCGTTCCAGGGTTGGCAAACGCGGAGTGGGGAGTAAGTTCGTGGACAATCTATAGACTACTGTATGGTTGACTAAACTTCAAGCTACCACCCCTCAGGTTGGTGTTTGGCTTGAGTTTTAGAGTGTGAGAGTACACACGACTAGCGTCGTTCAGAATTTGGTATACTTATATAAGCTCTCTGTGTAGCCGCTGGTAGGGTGCACTGAACACTCCGAGTTAACTTGATCACTCCTGATACGGAAGGTGGCGCGAACCCTTGACATTTTTCTTTGTTCTTCGTTGCGGCGTCGCAAGTGCTGCAGCGTCATACTTTTGCCAATGTCGCCTAACTTGAATGCTGTATTCGATGTGGGGGCGCACGTAAACATTGAGCATCCAAGTGAAGATGGATGAATCCAAATTCTCGAGTGCCCTCTGCCATTTGCACTCAACTGATTTTGACACCTTATGATTCCGCTAGTTTCTTTGCATATTTTTGATGCCGCATGTCTTCTTATTTTTTAGTCTGTTATTTCTTACTGGTTGTTATTTCGATACAGGAATTAGCCCTCATTTATCTTTGTACATTTTGGAAAGGCGTAGGCTTCATCAAACAGACATTATTTTGTGCTTTATTGTATGATAAGAATGTTTCTAATAGAAGACATCCATTTGTGAATGCTCCTCTCACCAACAGTACATGTGACGGTTATGAAACACCTACATACTCTCTGATGCCCGCAATCAAGGTAACATTGCAGTCTGCCATCTTCCCAGAACCTCCACAGTTATTCATCTATCGCTCGGTTGAAGTATTGCTACCTCTGATGTTACGGTTCAGTTGCGTTTCAATATGGCAGCTTTTGTACTTAAATCATGCGATGTTTTATCATTCTTGATATGTTGCCATATTATTGGTTCTTCAGCGGTGCATTAACTTCTATGGAAATTTAGCCCTAAGATTAAATATGTAACTTAATCTAGGCCAATTGCGGACTATCACCACTGCTTGCTGTTTCCGTTGAAGGTGTGTAAGACAGCACCTCTTAGTGACGAATAGAAAGACCCAACCAGGGGAATCCGAGTTTGCTGTGATTCGTCGTATCTACACTAGGCGCTCCGGTCCGTTGTTTCGGTCGCATACTTTACATCCTTCGAATCCGACCCCTTCCCCCTTCCAATAAATGCTAGAGCCAATCAATTACTGCTGGGGGCTGCGGCTTGCTTACCTGGTGTAGCGAAGCCTGCTGAACACATGATGGCATTATTATCAACAGTGTCTCCTGGCTTTCGGTTGTTATTGGTTGCACTCAGATTGCGCTCCACAGGGTCCTGTAGGCACTGGTGTAGGATGCTCGACGGACCCCAACTTAAGGCCGTTTGACTAAATCTAAGGCTATTTGGCCAGCACACTTTCTCCTCCGTATGGAGACGCTCGGACGGACATTGTCTGACATCTTCAACCGTCTGGACGGCAAAGTTTCTGCTAAAGCATTCAGGCCGTGAGATAAACACACTGTCAGAGTTGTATTTTGCCTTGTCCCCATCGTCGTAGATGGCACAGGCTGGGGCGCCGGTCTCGGCATTTGCAGCACGCGCGCTGTTTCCATTTTTCTCACTCTTCCACTAGTATGGCCTCTTCGGGTTCTAGACCGATTGGTGCTTTTTCATGTATTGGCTGTGATATCTTTCATGCCTCTCAATCCAACCAATTTCTGATTTTGTCCTCTTAATCGTAGGGTGTGACAGAGCGCTTCGTGTCGTGCGCGGACGACATACTGGATATTTTGGATGAAGGCAAAATGAACAGGCACGTGTCTGTTACTAGTAAGTAAATAACCGTCCTTTCCTAACATGCTTTGATAGCACTAAAGTTTCAGCAATCAATGTATCCCAAGCTCAATTATTGTCAACTGGAGCACTTCAGTTTTAAAGATGAGAACTCTTATCACTAAGATAGGCAGAATGCTTCATTCTGGAAATGCTCTGTCGGTCAAGTATTGCCGAAAACAGTGTTTGACCAGGGATATCAGTTTATAAAGCTTTGAACGCTTGATTGTGCGCTAGTGATTGACCAATCTCCGTTGAATAATTTCCGGTGTTACCAGTTCACCCAAGCTTAAGATACCGATGACTCTGTCTGGCTTACCTGCTCCAAAGACGGTTATAGCTTTGAGATAGAATATGTGTCTCGGTGCATTACGGCTCTTCCGTTCATTTATCTACTGAGGATGAGATAGCTACCTAAACACGTCACCTTAGTTATCGTTTGGGACATTCACACGGAATTAATCGACAACATCCCCTGAATGTGCCCATCAGTGAGCTGGTGCACCGGAACAATGCGTGTTTAGCTTAGCGGCGCACAAGATAGTATGTATATTAGCTTTTCACTGTTTCGTTGCCTGGATGTTTGGGATTAATGCAGAATGAGTATACTATTATACAGCTCGTCCGTAGGGCTCCGACAGCGTTTTCAGAGCACTGGTTGAGAGTTCAGTCTGTTGATGTGGAAGAAGCACGACACCATAACTGACCCCACCATGGTACTTCGAGTGATGCACGGCCTCCTGGCAGCGGCAACGGTCTTCGGTAATGCATTGCATATGGACCCCAGGTAACCGTCAGATAGATGGGCGAAGATGAAAAAGCCGGATCTCTCGCACAACCTCTGCAAGAGACTGACATATTGGCGCCCGATTTAGCACACTTTTGAGCATTGTGTCACTTGTATCCAGCCCACGGTAGTATC